TATCATGGATATGGGTGTTTATACAATGATAAGTACAGGGTTTTTACAGGGTCCATGAGTGTACAATGGATATGGGTGTTTAAACACGGTAAGGTACAGGGTTTTTACAGTATATTATGGATATGGGTGTTAATGCCACAGGGTTTATAAGTGTATTATGTATATGGGTGTTTATACAAGGATAGGTACAGGGTTTTTACAGGGTTCATGAGTGTACAATTGATATGGGTGTTTAAACACGGTAAGGTACAGGGTTTTTACAGTATATCATGGATATGGGTGTTAATGCTACAGGGTTTATGAGTGTATCATGTATATGGGTGTTTATACACGGTAAGTTAAAGGGTTTTTACAGGGTTCATGAGTGTACAATTGATATGGATGTTTAAACACGGTAAGGTACAGGGTTTTTACAGTGTATCATGGATATGGGTGTTAATGCTACAGGGTTTATACGTGTATCATGTATATGGGTGTTTATACAAGGATAGGTACAGGGTTTTTACAGGGTTCATGAGTGTACAATTGATATGGGTGTTTAAACACGGTAAGGTACAGGGTTTTTACAGTATATCATGGATATGGGTGTTAATGCTACAGGGTTTATGAGTGTATCATGTATATGGGTGTTTATACAAGGATAGGTTAATGGTTTTCACAGGGTCCATGAGTGTACAATGGATATGGGTGTTTAAACACGGTAAGGTACAGGGTTTTTACAGTGTATCATGGATATGGGTGTTAATGCTACAGGGTTTATGAGTGTATCATGTATATGGGTGTTGATACAAGGATAGGTACATGGTTTTTACAAGGTCCATGAGTGTACAATGGATATGGGTGTTTAAACACGGTAAGGTACAGGGTTTTTACAGTATATCATGGATATGGGTGTTAATGCTACAAGGTTTATGGGTGTATCATGTATATGGGTGTTTATACACGGTAAGTTAAAGGGTTTTTACAGGTTTATGAATTTATCATAGATATGGGTGTTAATGCACGGTTTGGGACATTGGTTTTACAGGGTCAGTGAGTGTTTCATGAAGTACTGATACACGGTTAGGTACAGGGTTTTACAGGGTCCATGAGTGTACAATGGATATGGGTGTTTATACAGGGACATGTAAAGGGTCTCCGTGGGCCTAGGACGGTGAGTCCAATATCAATAATGTACAGGTATATATTCAGATATCACACCCACGTCTCCGGAACTACGTTATTCCAAACATTAAACAGTCATTGGATATTATTATACCGTTATCTCACATAGTATTAAAAACCATTTATATGGAGATATATAATCTTCTTATCGGGAGATTTCTTTTCATAGAGGTCAGTAAAAATTTTATATCATCAGCCGAGCACATTGAATGAAATTATAATATCACTCTACAGCCTGTTTACAAATAATATCTGGATATTTTATAGACAACAAATATGATGAAAAACATACTTATATGTCTATTTAAATTAAAATGGTAATTAGAAATATTCTAAACCAATTTTCTAATTTTAAAGTACAATGCAGATTTAAAGGTCTAATGCCATTTCGTTAATGTTGATGTGTGTAGAGGAAGCCCTTAATCGATGTTAAAACATAATACGTGTGTATTACTATAGACACTATGAATACTACTCTCAATGTTTAACAATGGTTTTAACTAGCGGACCCTCCTCAAGAAACAAAAATTTATATACTATGGATATCATATTCAGTCAATAACTGTCCATGTATTTTGATTTTCAAAGTGAATCAGTTGTTGGTCACTTTACGGGTGTGTTACACAGCGAGCCAAACACTGTTCACGGATTGTGAATGTCAGGATGAGTCGATAACTGTTCACATGGTGGGAAAACCTGAGTGAGTAAATCGTTGTGTAAGAAGTTTGAGTATCGGAGTGAGTTTTCGTGTTAGCGATTGAATGTCAAATTGAGTCAAGACTGAGATATTCACTGTACATTAATTGTGAAACCAGACTGGTGCACATGAGTCCACAAGTGTTCACGTAGTCGGGATGTTAGGGTGAATTTATTACTGGTCAAGCTGTATGGATGACAAAGTGAGATCGCTCAATGATGACTGCTCACGTGTGAATATCCAAAAGTGAGTCAAAAGCCTACACATAGCTGTTCACGTCGTGTGAATATCAAAGCGCGTATTGTACATAACAGCTTGATTCAAAAGCTGTTCACCAAGTATTAGTGTATACATGTGCGTGGCGGAGTGAGTTAATTACTTTTGTGAACGTCAAAGTGCCGAACTCTGAGCGTCAAAGTGCCGAACTCTGAACTGTGACGGAGTGTGGGTATTTGAGGTGAATATATAATAGCTAATATCAGATTGAAATCACTCACTTTTTATAAAGAGGGTCAAAAATTATCAGTTACTTTTTATTAGAAGTAAAGATGGGAGAAGGCACTCCTCACACAGAGTAAAAGTAAAAGACGGATCGACGCGGTCCTTACTCTTTTGAGTTAACTATCTATTCGAAAATTCAAAAGTTTTGATCCTCCAAATGTAGACGTTAAAGTAGACTGACACTTGTCTCTAGAATAATAAAATTACAAATGAATAGAGCTTTACAATCTTGGTGTCTGGGATACCGTCCCTAATTCTCAAACTAGGGGGAGATAAGCCAGAATAAGAATTCAGCTAAGCAGCTCTTAATGAAAATTCTATAAGGGGTTAGTAGCCAGTGTATCGTTAACACAGAGCAGACGGCTATCTGTAGTGGTATGACGTTACAGAGATGACCACCCCTGGAAAGCGGATGCCAATTCTTTTCTCGTGCAACTGGCAGAAAATACAAAAGTATTGTTGACAACAGAGATTTTGTTTATAGATTTTCGTTTCGCCCTCTTTTTATTCGCCCATCACTTTTACACGGATCTATTCTAAATAACTCTGTTTCTTTACAAATAAAACCCTGTACCAGCATGTAAATGTTTTCTTGATTAAATATGTATATGGGGTAACTTTAAAATGTTGACTGAACGGTAATGGGTGTTTTCGGCGCCGATACAATACCATAATATCGATACGATCTAGAATATTAACGCAGCTACCAGTATTTGAAATTTCTTATACAATATATTGTATAGCCCTTCGTTTATGTGATATCCTTAACATTTGTATGTGAAAACATGTAAATTACAACGTATCTAATTAACAGAACTCAAAAAGACATACATTCTGGCTACATGTATTTTATGTAGATAACCAAACAGATATTCGATCTGCAGGGAATATGCTCATAAATGACCAACCCTTTCTGTCTTTTGTTAAAGTCACTATGTTAACTAAACTAAATTCCACTCCGAAATCTTGCATAATTCACTGATCTACAAATACGAATTCGGTCATTTAAAAGTTTGCCACCAACATACACAGCAGTAACATGGCCGAAATTTACGTGATCGGTTATTTTGAAACATTTTTCTCAGGTTGGTAATGTCAATAGAATAGGAGATCTTTTAACACAACCAGTAGAAGATTAGAGTGTGACGTTGGGCGTTGGTCGAGCCTTGCTCAACAGATGTGAAACTATTGTCAAAAGAGACAAGGACAAGAAGCAAGAACAAAATCTCAGCAGCATGAAAACATTGTGGATACCCTGATTGTGCAATCCAGAAAGTTAACAATGTAGCAAAAAGATTTATAGACGAAACATCAAGGAAAAGAACAAAACGAAAGGACAAATTGCCATCCCTTACATCAAAGGCCTGTCAGAAACCATTCAGGGGATTAAGCATGGTCATGACATTGCAGCAGCGGTAAAACCTCACAAGACACTCCGAAATATCCTAGTCCACCCTGAGGATAAAACACACAAAGAAATCGCCGCAGAATGCGTATACAAAACCGGTGCAAGAACTGCGACGCATCATATATCGGAGTGACAGGTAGAAGATTCGGTGTCCGACACAATGAACATCAGAAAGACGCGGAACCCCAAGAACGCAATCCCCCAACACCCCCCCCCCCCCCCTCCCAGATCACTAGATCAGAGCGAAAACATTCCCAGTCCCAGATAATTAAATCTGCACTTACAGATCATTCCACCAATCAAAATCATATCATTGACTGGAAAAATTCCAAAATAGTGGACAGGGAAATCGACCTTTTTAGGCGGTTGGTTAAGGAAGCCCATATAGATACGCCGCGGCGGCCAGAACCTAATAGCGGATGGGGTGGTGGTCTCTAATCTGTTTATCATCTCGTCACACTATTTTAGACCTAAGTAGTGTACATAGGATTATAGTACAGTCGGAAAAGTTGGTCGATTCCGTAAAATCTCGTACGTTACGTACGTCATTTGTCTGATAAAGGTGACCGTATAGTCATCGAAACGTCACGCTCTAATCTTCTACTGGTTGTATTATAAGAACTTCTTTTCTATTATATGATCGGTTTTTCATATATTCATATTAATATTTTGTTGTGCCATCTAAGTTCCCTCTTTCTCGAAAAGAGAGAGAGAGAGAGAGAGAGAGAGAGAGAGAGAGAGAGAGAGAGAGAGAGAGAGAGAGAGAGAGAGAGAGAGAGAGAGAGATTCTGTCTTCTTTTCTTTAATAGTCTTTAAAAACATATCATGTTATACATGTATTCATGCATTTGTAAGTACCAGTATTTGCTTTCTAGAATTGTAATTTCCCCAGAAATGTGTTTAATTCCCACATTTTGGTACATGTATATGAAGGAATGAGTTTATTCTTGTAATAATATTTTGGCGTCAGTTTTCTCCCGACCGCACAAACAGATTCATTTTACATACTAAAAAAGTCCCCGTCGCACATTTCATTTTTCTTGCTTTGTGTGTTGTAATGCTGTTTGTATAAATGCATGTTTTTAGACCAAGTGTTTGAAATTCCCAAGCTTTCCCCTAGAATATTCGTGTCGGCTACGATAAACATTTAACCCGGACTTATTATTGAAGGTAGGGAAATTTGGTTGACACCGTTTTAGTTTCTACTCCGGTGCGTGCTGTTTTTTACCGTTCATTCATGCGATTCACTCAGCTCTTACTGGCAAGAGTAATGCCGCCCGTTGTAAAGAATTTCGATTACTTGGTGATCGGAGGGGGTTCTGGGGGGATAGCCAGCGCGAGGAGGGCAGCTGAATTTGGTGTCAAGGTCGGATTAGTTGAACAAGCGAGATGGGGAGGCACGTGTGTAAGTAATTTACTTTTTATATTACACTTATACTGCATGTTGGGTTTGGCAACTTGAGCCGGATATCAATGATATAAGATTCATAGAACTGTTAATTACGTGTATTAGAGGTTTTTTTTATTGGTTTATTTACAAGTGAGCGTATACCACGGGAGACAACTCGCACAAAAAGGTAGTGTGTGAAGGACTTCCAATAAGGGCAATGCACAACACTCCTACAACACATGCAAAATAACTTCCAAGAAAATGAAGATAGAAGTTTAACATGCAGTTTGTATGACTAGTTGAGCAGGGAGTGTCGTTTGAGCTAAAAAAAAAGCTAAAGGTTTAAAGATCCCTCTAGTCAAATGCAAAAACAAACAAATAAAAACAGGGATGGACTTAATGCCTTTGACAACCACGGACTTAGATATATATATATATATATATATACAGGGTTTTCCATAAGAGCCAGTCGCTAGCCAATTTGACCAGCTACTTTGATCATTTGGTCGCCTACACCAATCCAGTTCCGTAATAATGTTCTCTACACGACTACACGTACACGGCAGGCCAGCCTCCTACTTTGACTACGCAGCCTACTACTAGCAAAATTATGGAAAACCCTGTATATATATATATAAAGACCATTTGACAATGGAGAATTTAGCTAGTATATAGCGACTTTATGAAGGCCTTTGAAAAGATGCCTTGCCAACGCCTTATCAAAGAAGTATCAGGTAACAGAACTGGCATACATGTTGTAAATTGGGTTGAAGACTTCCAGAAAAAGACATGCATGAGAACCTGTATTGCTCAACGTAGAATCATCTGAATTACATTGTGTAATTAGGGATATTCCCCAGGGAAGTGTACTGGGTCCAGTCTTATTTGTTCTTTTAATGAATTACCTCCCACCGATAACTTCATTCCCTTCACCATTATTTGCTCTTCACAACGATAAAAGTAAGCTACAAAATTGGTCAAATACATGACTATATAAAGTCTTTTCAATCCGAAATTCAGACAAAAGATGATAGTTCATGTCAGGAGGAGACCTGAAGGGGGAAGGATTTAATAAGAAAATAGTGTTAGGTAGTCCGCTTTTTTATTTTTGTCTTGGTCACAGGTCCCTGATTATTCACTATTTTCTAAACCCGCAAAGGTCCCTTATTATAACTGTTTTAAACCCTCATAGCCTAATATAGATACATGTACTTTTTATCTATCATCTAGGATCAATCTCTTCAACATATTTTTGCCTCTGAATGAAGTATCAATTAAATTTGATCTTTGAAAAAAAATGTCAATAAAAAAGTAAAATAAAATAGATTCTACATGTATATGCATTTGCCTAAAATCAGAAACAATTTCCAAGTGAAAGGTATTTTGTTCATGTAAAACTTGGAGACTTCATGATCTTTGATATTTTTATGGCTTGATGAAATTTACCTTCACTTTTTTGGAATCAATATTTGAACCATAAATATATACTATTAAAAAACAGTTTCATTTTTTTTTAGGTCAATGTTGGATGTGTTCCCAAAAAGGTTATGTTCAACACAGCGATGCATGCAGAGATGATGAAGGAACATAAAGACTACGGGTTTGACGTCAAGTGCAATGGATTTGACTGGGGGTACAGTATTTGTGTTTTATTTCCATCGTGTACATATCTAAGGAATCCTACTTCATGTTTTGTTTCTGAATCACCATAACTTAGGAATAGAACCATATTGTAATGGTGACAGGTGTTAGAAACATACATTAAGCTACCAATATCACATTATACTTGATGATGTTAACAAGTCACTATGAGTTATGTAGTTCAGATTTCAGCCTCAAGAAAGTGTATTAAAGTTGAAGACTGCTTTTAGACATTATACATGTTAGCCCATAGTGTAGCATGAAACATTTGTGTGAGCTGCTTGGCTATTGTTAATGATTTTATTGTTTTTTAATGTTATGACCAATTCAGCAGATTTAGTGATATTTAATTCCCATAATCAGTCAGCAATTGATTATCGATGATATAAATGTAAAAGACAAATGTTTAAATCACTTTTGAATTGCATTACAATGTTTATAATGCTTTTGTTGAATATATATAATTTCATTTCAGAGTTGTCAAGAAGAGTAGAGATGAGTATATAAAAAGACTCAATGGTATATATGAATCTAACTTAGCCAAGGTAAGTTTGATTGTAATATATACACTGTGAAACTCGTTTTTTCTTTACTCTCTTCTGAAATAAAGTTACAGGCATAGTGTCAGTGGGACATAAACTGACTCTGATATGATCGTTAAAGCACTGTTCATCCTGATAATTCTGCTTTCAGGGTTAATTTATCTATAGACCCCCTTAATCTTTTTTGAATTTTGGTTCTTTTCAGGTCTTTCTTTAACCTATATCTTGACTTTACATGACCAATAGATGTTGATATTCTTTTAAATTAAAAAAATTGAATCAATTAATTAATCAATCAGTCAGTCAATTTGTGTAGTTTAGACGTGTATATGTTTATGATTGATGTATTGATGTTCTTGACTTTATAATTACATTTATTAAGATGTGGAATATGATAAAGTTTGTTTTTATTTTTAGTCGAAAGTTGACACTATAGTTGGGAAAGCCACGTTCACAGATGATGGATGTGTGGATGTAAATGGTCAGAAATACAGTGCTGATCATATAATGGTGGCTACTGGTGGTTATCCCTTCATCCCCAATATCCCAGGTAAACACACAAAAACACAAAGAGGATGTTTATGATTACACGAGGAACTATGTTATTTTGTTCTCAGAGGTGAGCCTACTGACATCAGTATACAGCTCAATTAGAAATTTAAATTCAAGTTTTGTTTCAGATTACGAAAATGATACATAAATGTTCATACGATATTATATAAGTAAATAACTGTTACAAATTGGTAGATGTAATGTATATTCAATACAAATACAATTTAGATGATAGATAAATAATCACATTTACTGTGTGGGCTACATTCTGTTTATCTCTTAATCAAATTGTATTCCTGATATGTTTAAGTGTCGTATCAGGTAGCAGTCCTACACATGTATTTATAAATACAGTGGTGCATCATCTTTAGTTATATTCACAGATGTTCATTCCTTAATTCTTACTTAACATCCTAAGAATGTCAGTGATTATTTTATAGAATTTTTTTTCTTGATTTAATTTTTTTCATTTATTTCTGTGATATACTGTAAAAACTCAATGTATTGATCACCATTAAAGTGAAAATGTTGCTCATCACTCCCTGACAATTGCTTTGATTTATCCCTGATATTGATAATGGACTTTCAATGACAACCATATTTACCATAAAAGATTACGATTTGATCATTCTGTACTTTGGAAAATTTTATTTGGGTGTTGCAGGTTCTGAGCATGGTATATCAAGTGATGGTTTCTTTGAATTGGAGGAGTTACCCAAGTAAGAAGTGAAATGATTGTAAATGAGTGGATTTTCCACAGTGAATATTTTGTATCAAGAACATGTATGAAATGTTATCGCGTGAATTTGAAATTAGAAAAAACTGTAAGACAAAATTTGCATCTCGGCATATCTGAAAGGGAATTGATACCATCTTGGTATAACCCATGTAACTGTAGTATAAAGACTGCTGACCCAGACAGGGAAAATAAATATAGATAAAAACCTCACTCATTCTATTGTTAAAGTACAATACATGTCACTGTCAATAATTTTGGTGAATTATCATTGTCTATTATGTTGTTATTCCCCATACAGGAAGGTGGTGGTGATTGGTGCAGGGTACATCGCTGTTGAGTTAGCTGGAATATTCAACGCTCTTGGATCGGACACTTCAATAATGATCCGTTATGACAAGGTATACAATTATTTCACATCAATGTTAATCTAACTTTGTCTGACTTGGAATCGAAGCACAGGAAATGGATTATCTTAAAGATATGGTTACTTTTAAAGCAGAAATGATTGGAGTAGCAGGAAGACAATTTAAAGTCCTGATTGTATAAAAGAACTTTTTTCTGAAGACTTTTATGATGCTGTACCTGTAATCCTCTCTGTCCCCTCCATTCCCCTCCCATACACTAAGTAAGGAGGTATAAAGGAATTACTTTTGCCTGTACATCTCTGCTTGCTGAACCCCTATGGGTCATTCACACTATGTCAGCTTGTTTTGTTGGTTGGTTGACAAGTTTTTTGTGTCTGAGACTCCTGTTGCCAGGCATTGTCTCACCGATGAATGCCCATGTTTTGGTGACATGAGGGGACGACCTGCGTCCCCCACAGAGGGATGGAATGGTCTGTTGCAGTGTGTGTTTGATTATGATAGTTGTAGAAGATGACTCCAGGGCCTAATGATGTCTTATCCTAATTCTAATTATCTGAAACATGTCCAGAAGTGAACTGAAAGGAGCTTATATAGATTTTGTATAGGTTCGGGTAATTTTGGAGTTGGTCGCTGCAAATGCCTTAAAAATGATCAAACACTATCCCTAAACCACTGGACTGGTTTATCACACCTACTCTTTTTCCCAAAAGCCACAGAGAGATCTTTTATGTGTGAGTGCGGACAGTCCTCACACAGGCACACTATAGCAGCATGCCAACAAGATGGACATTGCTTAAAGGTCAAAGGTCATCTTTGACAATACAGGAAATAACTTGCACCTTATGGTTCAGGCTATTTGTCTTATTGTTACTTTTAGGTTCTGAGGACTTTTGATTCGATGGTCAGTGATTCAGTCACCAAAAACATGGAAGATGATGGGGTGAAGGTCATTAGAAGGACACAAACTACATCTGTGAAGAAAGAGGAAAATGGAACTTTAACCTTGGAGACCACTGGAGGTCAAATTAAAGATGTCAACTGTCTCTTATTTGCCATTGGTCGAAATCCAAATACACAGGGACTGAACCTTGAAAAACAGGTAAAATAGGATTGATGAAACATTAATGATATTTTTTGTATCATTCGGTCACAGTCAGTTAGAAAAGTGTGTGGCATTTGGATGACCTTCATCTGATTAATAATCAGTGAATTGTGTATGATCTGATTTGTATACAGTGTGAGAGATGGTTATGAGACAAGACTTTTCTACTGTAATTTAAGTCTTAATATGTACACTGAGGTAGAAAATAATTTACATTATGATGATAAAATTAATAGTGAACACAGTTTGAAATTTTGTTAGATATTTTATAATGCTGTAGCAACTGTTTGGTTTTTTTTCACATAAGAGTAAATCCAGTATAGACTTAATTTGATTGTTTAAGTGAATACACCTGTTTTACTGCAAATATTTTGTTTAAATAATCAGTTTTAAAAAATCAAAATAAACTCTTCTTAATTTAGATGTGTAAAGAACATCATTTCATGTGTGAAGGTGTGTAAAAATGTGTGATCTGAGTGTGATACATGTGTGAAGAACATTATTTCATTGATGACAACTTTGTATGTCACTGATGTTGCTAATCTACAACAAAACAACCCAAATTTCAAAAGAACTAAATGGTATATAATAAAGGAAACAGTTAGATTTGTTTCAATGACTTTGTAAAAGTAATTCAACCTTGGATGTAGTTATCATATAGTATGGACATCTAAATCCATCAAACAAATGAATTTTATCTATTTCCTTTTGTTGTGTTGTGTACGTTGTATTTGGTGTTTTTAGGGGACTATAAATTCTAATTTTAGAGAGATGACTCCAAAGTCTTTATGGCTTGCTCTATTCACTTCAGATTTAGTTTTTAGTCATATTGAAAAAAGTACTGTAAAATATCAGTCAATATTTCATATTTTTAAGGTAAATGTCATAATTGAGGGAATTTTGAGAAATGAAGAATTTACCAAATTTTTATTTTATGTTTTATAATGTATCAGTATTTGAACATGACAATGATTTATTTGTGGTGTTTACATATTGATAATTAAAATTAATTTGGAAAGTTGGTATTTGGGAAGTGAAGACATAAGTTAGCTGAACAATTATCACAAGACATATAATAATTACATATAAAACTTCTCCTTTTTTTGATGTGATGATTTTTTTAATGATGCATTCTGTTTGACTTAGTTTGAATTGTGCATATCTGTATTTAACTGTATATATTGCCTTGGAGAGTTACATCACTCACGTTGATATCTTCACTTACCAAAGGTTACGAACCTGTACCTTCCTCTTCACAGAAAGTATCCCATTGAACACCCTTGGCTAGCAAAGAGGGGTTGATAAAAGTTATGTCAAATTTTGCATAATGATGATGAAGAGAATATTTGATAGTGTATTTTGTGTTCTTTGTATTACAGGGGGTCAAGTTAGACAGCAAGGGTCACATCATTGTGGATGCATTCCAGAACACAGACGCCAAAAATATCTATGCTCTTGGGGATGTCTGTGGCAAAGCTCTTCTCACTCCAGGTAAACATAAATTTGCACAAATTCAAAATCAAGATTACACCTGTATAATAATCTTTATTATAGACATAGAAAAAATGGCTTGGACATGCCTTCCTGATTGCTTTCATCATAAAATAACTGTGTTAAGTGAGTTACAGTGTATTTGGTTAGGTATAAGTAAAACACAACCTCATTATAACATATTTAGCTACAATGGTGTTGACTGCAATAGCTCAGTCAGACCACTGACCTATACACAACCTGAGGAGAAGATCTGAGGTATCTGGTTGACACGCTCCACACTTGGTTTGTTTACCTTAGGAAGCTGAGAAAGCCAACCATCTTGTACCATTGTTGTTATATCCTTGGGCAATTTAATTTCAGTTAGCACGTGATGGGCCTCTGGTATTATGTTCAATGAGGTAGCCATCAGCTAGTGCAAGACACCATCTTAAGATGATAATGGTTGTTACAGAGAACTTTATATATAAAACAATTGTTTTAACCACTTATGGAGGGAATAAGAAATCCCTTTTAGAAAGCACTAATTATCTGATTATAAAGCCAGATAAGGTTGATCTGAGATGATTTATTGAATTGTATTGGGATAATTGACCTATAAAGGAATTTAATTGCAAATTCAAATGTTATGCAACAAATAATCATGTATGACGTTTTGCTGCCTTAGTTCAATTCTTTCAATTTTAAAAAATTATGATAAAAAGATCACAAATGAACTCCATCTGTATTTTTAATTTTTTATTTTTAGTATCACTGTAAATAGTGTCACAATATCATTTGATTATTCAGAAAAGATTTAAGTAATTATATAATTGCTATGGTTTGTGTTTTCAGTTGCCATAGCAGCTGGTCGACGATTAGCTCACAGATTGTTTGACAACAAACCTGACTTAAAGCTTGACTATAACAATATAGCTACGGTAGTGTTCTCTCATCCTCCTACTGGTACCATTGGACTCACAGAGGGTAAGTGTATACGTTTTACCATGAACAACAGAAAGTATACAGGCAACAGCTGTTATTGGAAAAAATGTTAGATCTGTCATTTGTAAATTTAAAGTGGAAAAAATTTAGTGGAAGCTGTGAAATTTTAACTTCGAACATTAAAAATGTCTCCTGAGTCCAAATTCTACTCTGGATGATAAAGACATTTTTTCCCATCTCTTGTAAAACTTCACAAGTAACTTATTTGGTAATTACTTACTTAATACATAAAGTGATCCTATTAGTTTGTAATCTGTCAATTAAAGGATGTATACAAAGGTCACATGTGAATGCCTGAAATAGTAAAGTTGATTTTGAAAACAGTGTACTGACCATGATAGGTCATACTTAAGGTCATGTAAAAGTGTAATGATTGCCTGTTGTATTGTGTCACATCACATCACATCCCACTATGTCATGGTCCTAATTATTGTCATATATCTTAAGAACTTCTCTACAGATTTAGTTCATATTAACCCCATAGTACCATGTCATGAAATTCTACAACTGATCAGATTTTTATTAGCATAGGAGTTTAGGCATCCATGTATTTTGGGCATTTTCCATTTTTTTTTTTTTACTTTTCTATATCGAAGTCTCTAAAAGCATGATTTCACCCATTTTGCTCAAAAGTGCATTATTATCTGAGCATCTCTAATATGTTATCTCATAAAAGAGAAGGCAATTCCTTAAAATTTTATTTTGGCTGGTATTCCAAAATATCTCAACACCATTTGTTCATTTCAGAGGAAGCTCGTACCAAGTATGGTGATGACAAAATCAAAATCTACTCATCTGTCTTTACTCCAATGTACTACGCAGTTACACAGACCAAACACAAGTGTAGCATGAAGCTTGTCTGTCTTTTACCTGAAGAAAAGGTAAGCTATCTTCTCAGTAGATCTGTTTTATTAACATGCTTACTTTTGATTTGAAAACTGTCAATATATTGAAATATTGTCTGTTGATAAAATGATTTTTGAACTACACAGACATGTACACTAAAACATACCAGATACCTATAGTAAGTTTTGTCAGCTTTCTGTGTATTATTACGACATGATTATATTATATATATAAAGGATAATCAGAGACTTGTGTAGCTATTTAGATCTCCTGGATAGGGTTCTGTGTGAGTGTAAAAATCAGTGTAAATCCACTCGTCATTATTATATTTTTGATGTTTTATCAAGGTGATTGGGTTACACATGGTGGGACAAGGTGTCGACGAGATGCTTCAGGGATTTTCAGTTGCCATCAAAATGGGTGCCACTAAGAAACAGTTTGATGATACAGTCGCAATCCACCCGACATCTGCTGAAGAGCTTGTCACCATGAGATGAAACTTGTAATACTACAAACTTGAATCTGACACACTGCTATATACTTTTTAGAATGTACATGAATAAATCAAGTTCTTTGCAATACTTATTGTATTTTACTTTCATCACATGATTCAAAATTTAGTTTTCAATATTCAATACATGTATTGTTATCTTAAAAAGAGATGTATTTTTCTAAAAAAAAGTATATAAAAACTATTAATCAGTAAAAAATAGTAATCAGTATATTTGGTATATTTGTTTTATTTATGTATACCAGGTAATTAATTATTAGTTGTGACAGTCTTTTGTTATATAAAGTTACATATCTGTTGTGTATAGGCATTAGACAATTTGTTTGTATATATAAGTCCCTTCACTGGTTTTATATGAAGGAAGCTTGATGTATATTTGTTACCAAAGAGATGTATTATCCCCCTTTAACTTCATGTTTCACCTCAACAGATGCATTTAAGATATTCTGTTATAGCAATTTAACAAGATTAAAGAAAATGTTCAATAAGTTTATATATTATCAAACTTCAAACACAGAATCATGTGTTATATTATTATAGAATTAAATATCAGAAAAATACTAATGATTGAGATTTTAATTGACAATGTGAATGATTTATCCAAATTGTGATAATCCACTAGCAACTCATGGTTCTTAGTCCCACCACATACAGGCTGTAGGTACATACATTATATGTCTGAAAAACTAGAGTTGTCGCTAACATAAGTTGTTAGACAAATGTCTTAAATCTAGTGAGTTAAGGCCAGAGGAATCTCAAGTTTTTGTTGTAGCCAACGTATATACACGTATACTGATAAATACACCCCAGAATTAGTGTCCTATATAACTTGTCAGTCCCGCCATTTCATAACAACATTAAAACGAATTTTGGCTGTTGTTTGGATTCAGTGTAAAAATGTACACAAATTTTATACTCCCAGTAGTAAAAACTGTGTCCAATCTGTGCCTTAATTCATGTGTACTCACTCATTTTCTACACTTGTAACCATTATATGTGGCAATTTCTGTAGTGTTGATATTTTTTATATTAATACTTAGTTATTATAGAATCTGTGATTAAATGAAAATTCATATTTTACGCATAAATGTTACGTCTTGTTATATTTGGAATGACTTGGCTGGCATCATGTGTCTGTGAGGACAAGGCTATAAATGGTTATCTACCCTGATATATCCAACGACTTTAAATTTGTATCATGACATTTTAATTTTGTGGTTTAATATCATTAATATAAAATTTACGAATAATTTAAACATTTTACAAATAAATCTTACTTTAATTTACTGGTCATGTCTGTGTCTTTATTTAATATGAATTCAGTGTTTTAGTATTAGCAAGGTCATTGCGTTATTAACTTTAGAATGAATATATGTACAAGCTTCATGTACCAATAACAAAATCATATCTCTCATATATAATTTCACTTAATGAGTTGCAGAAAATGACGTTCAAGGAGAATTAATTTGATCTTAATGAATAGGAAACACTGACATATCTCTTTATTATTACTTACAGGAGTGTATCAACTAAGACTTATTTGTGTGGATCAGTAAAACTTTGAGTAAGGTCTCCACAAATGGTGAAGCATGATAGTCAGATTTGTGAAGTACTACACCATGTTTACAGTGTATCTTTGTGGAGTAGCCTAAGTGTGAAGTACTACATCATGTTTACAGTGTATCTTTGTGGAGTAGCCTAAGTGTGAAGTACTACACCATGTTTACAGTGTATCTTTGTGGAGTAGCCTAAGTATGAAGTACTACACCACATGTTTACAGTGTATCTTTGTGGAGTAGTCTAAGTGTGAAGTACTACACCACATGTTTACAGTGTATCTTTGTGGAGTAGTCTAAGTGTGAAGTACTACACCACATGTTTACAGTGTATCTTTGTGGAGTAGTCTACACCATGTTGTAATATACAGTTTACAGTGTATCTTTGTGGAGTAGCCTAAGTGTGAAGTTATACACCACATGTTTACAGTGTATCTTTGTGGAGTAGTAGCCTAAGTGTGAAGTACTACACCACATGTTTACAGTGTATCTTTGTGGAGTAGCCTAAGTGTGAAGTACTACACCACATGTTTACAGTGTATCTTTGTGGAGTAGTGTGAAGTACTACACCATGTATACAGTGTATCTTTGTGGAGTAGCCTAAGTGTGAAGTACTACACCATGTTTACCGTGTATCTTTGTGGAGTAGCCTAAGTATGAAGTAGTACACCACATGTTTACAGTGTATCTTTGTGGAGTAGTCTAAGTGTGAAGTACTACACCACGTGTTTACAGTGTATCTTTGTGGAGTAGAGTGAAGTACTACACCACATATTTACAGTGTATCTTTGTGGAGTAGTCTAAGTGTGAAGTACTACACCACATGTTTACAGTGTATCTTTGTGGAGTAGTCTTAGTGTGAAGTACTACACCATGTTTACAGTGTATCTTTGTGGAGTAGTCTAAGTACTACACCACATGTTTACAGTGTATCTTTGTGGAGTAGCCGAAGTGTGAAGTACTACACCATGTTTACAGTGTATCTTTGTGGAGTAGCCGAAGTATGAAGTACTACACCACGTGTTTACAGTGTATCTTTGTGGAGTAGCCGAAGTGTGAAGTACTACACCACATGTTTACAGTGTATCTTGTGAAGTACTACACCACAGTGTATCTTTGTGGACTAAGTGTGAAGTACTACACCATGTTTACAGTGTATCTTTGTGGAGTAGTCTAAGTGTGAAGTACTACACCACATGTTTACAGTGTATCTTTGTGGAGTAGCCTAAGTGTGAAGTACTACACCACATGTTTACAGTGTATCTTTGTGGAGTAGCCAAAGTGTGAAGTACTACACCACATGTTTACAGTGTATCTTTGTGGAGTAGCCTAAGTGTGAAGTACTACACCACATGTTTACAGTGTATCTTTGTGGAGTAGCCTAAGTGTGAAGTACTACACCACATGTTTACAGTGTATCTTTGTGGAGTAGCCTAAGTGTGAAGTACTACACCACATGTTTACAGTGTATCTTTGTGGAGTAGCCTAAGTGTGAAGTACTACACCATGTTTACAGTGTATCTTTGTGGAGTAGTCTAAGTATGAAGTACTACACCACATGTTTACTGTGTATCTTTGTGGAGTAGCCTAAGTGTGAAGTACTACACCATGTTTACAGTGTATCTTTGTGGAGTAGCCCAAGTGTGAAGTACACCACATGTTTACAGTGTATCTTTGTGGAGTAGTCTAAGTATGAAGTACTACACCACATGTTTACAGTGTATCTTTGTGGAGTAGTCTAAGTTTGAAGTACTACACCACATGTTTACAGTGTATCTTTGTGGAGTAGTCTAAGTATGAAGTACTACACCATGTTTACCGTGTATCTTTGTGGAGTAGCCCAAGTGTGAAGTACTACACCATGTTTACCGTGTATCTTTGTGGAGTAGCCCAAGTGTGAAGTACTACACCATGTTTACAGTGTATCTTTGTGGAGTAGAGTGAAGTACTACACCATATGTTTACAGTGTGTCTTTGTGGAGTAGTCTAAGTGTGAAGTACTACACCACATGTTTGCAGTGTATCTTTGTGGAGTAGTCTAAGTGTGAAGTACTACACCATGTTTACAGTGTATCTTTGTGGAGTAGAGTGAAGTACTACACCATGTTTACAGTGTATCTTTGTGGAGTAGTCTAAGTATGAAGTACTACACCATGTTTACCGTGTATCTTTGTGGAGTAGCCCAAGTGTGAAGTACTACACCATGTTTACAGTGTATCTTTGTGGAGTAGCCCAAGTGTGAAGTACTACACCATGTTTACAGTGTATCTTTGTGGAGTAGCCTAAGTGTGAAGTACTACACCACATGTTTACAGTGTATCTTTGTGGAGTAGCCTAAGTGTGAAGTAGTACATCATGTTTACAGTGTATCTTTGTGGAGTAGCCTAAGTGTGAAGTAGTACATCATGTTTACAGTGTATCTTTGTGGAGTAGCCAAAGTGTGAAGTACTACACCACATGTTTACAGTGTATCTTTGTGGAGTAGTCTAAGTGTGAAGTACTACACCACATGTTTACAGTGTATCTTTGTGGAGTAGCCTAAGTGTGAAGTACTACACCATGTTTACAGTGTATCTTTGTGGAGTAGCCCAAGTGTGAAGTAGTACACCATGTTTACAGTGTATCTTTGTGGAGTAGTGTGAAGTACTACACCATGTTTACAGTGTATCTTTGTGGAGTAGCCTAAGTGTGAAGTACTACACCATGTTTACAGTGTATCTTTGTGGAGTAGCCTAAGTGTGAAGTACTACACCACATGTTTACAGTGTATCTTTGTGGAGTAGCGTAAGTGTGAAGTACTACACCATGTTTACAGTGTATCTTTGTGGAGTAGTGTGAAGTACTACACCACATGTTTACCGTGTATCTTTGTGGAGTAGTGTGAAGTACTACATCACATGTTTACAGTGTATCTTTGTGGAGTAGTCTAAGTATGAAGTACTACATCACATGTTTACAGTGTATCTTTGTGGAGTAGTGTGAAGTATTACACCACATGTTTACAGTGTATCTTTGTGGAGTAGCCTAAGTGTGAAGTACTACACCACATGTTTACAGTGTATCTTTGTGGAGTAGCCTAAGTGTGAAGTACTACACCATGTTTACAGTGTATCTTTGTGGAGTAGTCTAAGTGTGAAATACTACACCACATGTTTACTGTGTATCTTTGTGGAGTAGTGTGAAGTACTACACCACATGTCTACTGTGTATCTTTGTGGAGTAGCCTAAGTGTGAAGTACTACACCATATGTTTACAGTGTGTCTTTGTGGAGTAGTCTAAGTGTGAAGTACTACACCATGTTTACAGTGTATTTTTGTGGAGTAGCCTAAGTGTGAAGTATTACACCACATGTTTACAGTGTATCTTTGTGGAGTAGCCAAAGTGTGAAGTAGTACACCATGTTTACAGTGTATCTTTGTGGAGAAGCCAAAGTGTGAAGTACTACACCATGTTTACAGTGTATCTTTGTGGAGTAGAGTGAAGTACTACACCATATGTTTACAGTGTGTCTTTGTGGAGTAGTCTAAGTGTGAAGTACTACACCATGTTTACAGTGTATCTTTGTGGAGTAGCCTAAGTGTGAAGTACTACACCACATGTTTACAGTGTATCTTTGTGGAGTAGTCTAAGTATGAAGTACTACACCACATGTTTACAGTGTATCTTTGTGGAGTAGTGTGAAGTACTACACCACATGTTTACCGTGTATCTTTGTGGAGTAGCCTAAGTGTGAAGTACTACACCACATGTTTACAGTGTATCTTTGTGGAGTAGCCTAAGTGTGAAGTAATACACCACATGTTTACAGTGTATCTTTGTGGAGTAGTGTGAAGTACTACACCACATGTCTACAGTGCATCTTTGTGGAGTAGTGTGAAATACTACACCACATGTTTACAGTGTATCTTTGTGGAGTAGTGTGAAGTACTACACCACATGTTTACAGTGCATCTTTGTGGAATAGCCTAAGTGTGAAGTACTTGTAATGGGTTCTGTACCACATCAATATCTATTACTATACTTGACACAGGTAACCTGGATGTATGTGTTTTGGTGATACATTTGACATCCTCCTGAATTGACTCTTATCTTAATCTTAATTGCACTAGAACAAGTATGGAGGGTTCACGATCACATATGCAGGATGATATAATTTTCTCATTTTTTCAATGTACATGCCCTTAGCTAAGGTGATCCTTCTTTAAACAGATGGATCCAGGATAATGAATAAAGACGGTATTGGGATGGGGATAAACACGATAAGGAAAAGGGGAGGGGCTGACGATTGTTTCCAAAAAATAAAAAATCTTACGGTGAAAGAATTATCCCCAAACCCCCACTGCACAACGTCTCATCGTGTCAGAAACCTGCACAGCTACAGAATGTTTGTAATTGTAAATGTCTTTAAGATTTTGATAAATTTCACCGTCCTTATAGGAACTGTCAGCGTTATTGCTTTCTGCATGATTCATCTTCCGGGTAACAGTTTCCTGCACGCCCATTGACGTAAAGATATCTCAGTG